GACCAGTCAGGAGGTCATACCATCATCCCACCATCAGAGGACCAGTCAGTGGGGATATACCATTATCTCATTGTCAGAGTATGGTACTAAGCTACACTAAAAAGCCCGGAGGAACCAAATACAAGGGCAGCAAAAGATTGTGACCAAACTAAGCACCTATAACCTGAGCTCTTAACAAGGCTAAGTGACAAAGTACCTCATGAAATTCTACTAGAAGCTGAGAATGCAGGCTTGCTAAGTCTCCCTGCTGATACGTCACAGACACCAGTCAGCTGGTCCCATCACAGCCACAGAGATCCTGGACTTACTCAGCTAGAAGATCCAGTATACAATAAGAGGCTGAAAGCTAAGATCCAGCCATTATAGTGGGTTGACAAGTTGCAGTGCAGTGGGTTGTCGCTGCCGTTTTTTGTTGATGCAATTTGCAATGAATGAATGTTGGAGTGGGCTGTTGTTGTAGTTTGTTGTTGCAGTGGGTTGTCGGTGCATTTGGTTGTCCTTGCAGTGTGGTGTCGTTGCAGTGGGTTGTCGGTGCAGTGGGATGTCAGTGCAGTGTGTTGTCGGTGCAGTGGGTTGTTGGTGCAGTATGTTGTCGTTGCAGTGGGTTGTTGGTGCAGTATGTTGTCGGTGCAATGGGTTGTTGGTGCAGTGGGTTGTCTGTGCAGTACAGTGGGTTGTCGGTGCAGTGCAGTGGGTTGTCGGTGCAGTGGGTTGTTCGTGCAGTGGGTTGTCGGTGCAGTATGTTGTCGTTGCAGTGGGTTGTTGGTGCAGTATGTTGTTGGTGCAATGGGTTGTTGTTGCAGTGGGTTGTCAGTGCAGTGGGTTGTCGGTGCAGTGGGTTGTTGTTGCAGTGGGTTGTCAGTGCAGTGGGTTGTCGGTGCAGTGGGCTGTTCTTGCAGTGAGTTGGCCGTGTAGTAGGTTCTTGTTGCAGTGGGTTGTCAGTGCAGTGGGTTGTCCGTATAGTGGGTTGTCAGTGCAGTGGGTTGTTGTTGCAGTGTGTTGCCGTTGCAGTGGGTTGTC